TCGATAACTGGAGGTGCAAAAGAATATAATATGAAACCAAGATTATTAAGAGCATTTCGACATGGTCTTCTTAAAGTTGCTCGAACAACTGGTATGAAAAAGTGAAACTATTTTAGTGATATATCTGATTTTCATACAGTTGAATTGATGTCATTGCAAAAAAAAAAATATTTTCTTTTATTATTTAATTTTAGGTGCATGGATAATTACTGGTGGTATGAATACAGGTATAATGAAACTTGTTGGTGAAATTGTTCAAATAAATCCAGATCGATCACGACCAATTCCTTTGATTGTAAGTATTCTTAAATAAAAGAATTTTAAAATAAATATTTTTTTGTTTTTGTTATATAATAAAATAATCTAAAAGGGTATTGCTACTTGGGGTTGTGTATCTGGTCGTGAACATCTTGATGTACGTGGTTCAAGTGTATATTATGCTAAACCACGTAGTAATATAAGAGGTGAAGCACCACTTGAACCAAATCATACAAAATTTATTTTTATTGATGATGGAACTGAAAGAAAATATGGTCGAGAAATAGCATTTCGTGCTCAACTTGAACAAGCTATGTCTAGTGGATTTTTTTCATCAAAAACTACGACAAGTTCTTCAAATCAATCTGGAAATATATCTGAAACATCATTTTTACAACCAGAAAATTCACGTTCATATAAAAAATGTTTTCTCTTATTAGCTAATAATTATTCTTTTTTGATTTTTAATGTAGATCCAGTACCTGCTGTTCTTCTTGTTGTCGAAGGTGGTCCAAATACAGTTCGAACAGGTTAAAACAAAGAAAATTTTTTGAACAACAAAAAGAAAACCCAATAAAAATAAGTATGTTTTATTTATTTATCTATAGTTCATGAAGCTGTTGTTGAAAACAATATTCCAGCTGTTTTTCTCAAAGGAACAGGTCGTTGTTGTGATTTATTTGCTAAAGCATTTCATCTTTATAATGAATATCGAAGAAATATTGAATCTGATGATGAAACATCAATAAAGTAAATATTAAAATAACTATTCATATATTTACACTAAATTCTAGAAGTTATTTTTTCTGAGATTTAAAAAAAAAAGAAAATTCAACGAAGGACTCTATTTTATAGGATTAGTGATGAATTATAAATAGAGAATGTTCAATAAAAGAAAAAGATGAATCAATCAAAACTAGACAGAAAAAAAGAAAGTGATCAAGAAGTATCTAATATTTAGTTTAATGTCTTTTATGTATGATTTCTAATTTGAAAATCTTGACAAGAGATTTCTTTGAAAATTAGACTTTGCTTTTTCTAACAAAAACATATTTGATTAATTTAAATGTTGTACGAAAGTCTTTAGTCAAATTCTATAAAAATAATCATTTTTGAACAAAATCCTAATGTCATTTTAAACACATATTGGTATTTCGATACTTAAATGTGCCGAGAGTTTCAACTATACATATTCCATCTTGCAGTTTTTAAAATTTCTTTAGCAACCTATATTATTGATAGTATTTAAACAAGAATATGAATAGTATAATGAATATTTATTGCAAAATGAGTTTTTTTTTTGTTTTAGTATTCATCCAGATACTTTAGCAAAGTATAATGATGAATTAAAACTAAAACTGCGTGAAGACCTTAAAGATGAACTTCTATCAATTAATGGTCCAGTCGATATACCTGTTACACCGGATCATCATGGACATCACACTGATAATAAGGATAATTTTGAATTAGTTTATGAATGCATTCATACTCGAAGAAATTTTTTGCATATAATTAGTTTTAGTTCACGTCATTTAGTTGAACCCGATATTGATTTAGCTATTTTACAAGCTCTATTAAAGGGTTAGTGAAATATATATATTATGATTTATTTTAATAAAATAAAATATTTCTTTATATAGCTACTTCTGATAAAAAGGGATGTGAAACAACTATACAACGTAAACGTGAACAACTTCGTTTAGCATTGGAATGGAATCGCGTAGATATAGCTAAAAATTACATTATGAAAAATGAAGCAGATTGGGTAAGAAAAAAAAAACTATAGAATAATCTTCTTTTGAAAAGTTCTTCTCTATTTTCTATTATTATTTTTATTAGAATATTTATTTAAATGATTTATTTTTATTGGCACTTAAACGTAATCAAGCAAAATTTGTTGAATTATTTCTTTATCATGATTTTCCATTGTCTGATTTATTCAATGATATTGGTACACTTATTGATCTTTATACTTATAGAAAAAACGAAGTAATACTAATTTTAATCACATATTCATTTTTTTAACTTGATTTTGTAGAATGATATTTTCAGTAATAATTCTATTAAAGATCCATTACGAACCTTATTTGAAAAAAAAATACGACCATTTATGACAAATTTTTTTGATGTTAGTGCTGCAGTTTTGCGAAAAGATTTTCCGCTAAATTCTGCATCTAAACATAAAAATGATGCTGAAAAAAGTGGTTGTTGTGGAACAAGATATCGTAATCAGTCTTTGGATAGTACCTACGATGATAGTGAAAGAGCAGAAGGTAAGTTTTGCATATATTTGTTAAGATGTATATTCTTTAAAATTCTATTAAAGATATGCTATTTCGTTTTTTCTCTATCAATTAATATGTCCAAAAAATAAAGTTTTAAATGATAAAATTTTATTGGTAAAACATTCACTGTGAATGTTGAAATGATTTCTTTTTTTTTGTGCATAAATCTGATTATATTTGAACGGTGCAATTTGCATATTCTATTAAATAAATGTCGAATAAGAAACTGACTCAAAAATTTATTTTGTAAAACTTGCCACAGATAATATCTAGCTGTTTGAAACCAGTTAATTATTTCCGAGATGGTATTCATTTAATTAGTACTAAAGAGAAATAAAAAAAAGAGATAATCTAGAATTTTTGGATTTTTCGAAGCTATTGCGTTCTTGAGAAATTGAAATTTTATTCGATCTTCTAACGAAAAGCTATGATCTCTCTTATCTAATGAAAAAACATTCTTTTAAGTTTCGACTTCTAATTTGGTACGAATAAAATTCTAACGAGGGTGGTACCCCAAGTGTTTAAAAGCTTTTGAAGTGATATTTTACCCAGAGGTAGGATCTGATGAGACTGATAAAAGCCAAAAGGATAAGGGTCCATGTGCCTTCCTTCCGGAACTATGACAAGGTATTTAGAAAAAAAGCGAATGACAAAATTTCGATCTGAAATTTTGCCCATAGGTAGGTCTTATTATCCTTATAATGCGCTGAAAGTTTCAACGAAAACGAATGTTTCCTTTCCGAGATAATAAATTTTCAAGAAATATTCACATTTCAGAAAAATCGAATTTTCTTGTACATTTATTATCTCGAGAAGGAAACATCCTCTTTCGTTGAAAATTTTAACATATTCTAAGGAAAATGAGATCTACCTTTGGACAAAATCTCAGGCCGAAATTGCGTTATTCGATTTTTTTCCAAATACCTTGTCCATAGACTGAAAATTCAGTAAAACTGTCATAGCTCCGAAAGGAAGGCACATGACTCCTTATCCTTTTAGACTTTTTCTAGTCTCATCAGATCTTACTTATGAGCAAAATATCACTTCAAAAACTTTTAATCACTTGGAGTACCTTCCTCGTAAGTAAGATTAGTTGATTATGTAGTTTTAGCTATTTTCTTGTTTCTTTTCTGAAAATATAAATGTATGAGAATTTTAAATGTTCAATATTTAAGGATAGATGATACAAGAAAGATTACTATTTTTTCAATGAATTAGTCTCATTAAGAGCTTTATTTATGTACACTTTGAAGTTGATATTCTCACACGATCTGAGGTAAACAATAATTGTATACTAAAAGAAACCAAGTAAGATTTTGATATTTGAAGAATAAAGGTACAGAGAACTAAATCATTCTGTGAATGAATTGAATATACTATTCATATATTTAAATTATTCAAAAATATTTGTTTTCTTGTTAAAGAGTTAACAATTACTGACAATGTTTATCTGGATATTGATAGAGAACTTTTTCTTTGGTCGGTAATAGAAAATCGACAAGATTTAGCATTATTATTTTGGTCGCGTGGCACGAATAAAATTAGTAAATCAAATTTTTCTTTTTAATTACAACAAGACATATATATATATATATCTTAGGCGCTGCATTAGTTGCGACATTGATATATAAACATTACGCTCATACAAAACATGATAAAAATTATCTTCAATCGGCTGATAAATTTGAAGATTTAGCTGTACAAATACTTGAAAAACTTTATGAAGCAAATCCACAAGCATGTTTAAAAGCAATTATACGACAAATTCCATCTTATCGTAATGCAACATGGTTAGAATTAGCTGTTGAAGCTAAAGCTAAAGAATTTATTTCTCATCGAGCTGTACAAGATCTATTTAGTGATATTTGGTTTGTTATAAATAAATATTTAATAAAAAATTAAAGAAATAAAATTAATTTTTCTTATAGGTTTGGATATATTAAAGAATCAGTATCTTATGTAAAAATCATTTTTTCTACATTTATGTTATGGTATAGTGGTTTTCTTCCTTATAATGAAAATTTAGTTACAGAAGATGATAATACACCACTGATTGTATGTATAATAAGTAAACAATGTGTTTATAAAAGAATGACTTTCATTATTTTATTTTTCATTTCTAGAATTCAAGTAAAAAGTCATTTTGTTTTGTAAGACAAACATCAAAAGAACAGTGGGTAGGACAAAGGTATTGAATATAAAATTTTATTTGATGAAGTTTTTTTTTTTTTTTCTAAAACATCATTCATTAGTAATTATTTTATTGTTTAACAATGGATGTTTATCATACGTGTGCCATCGTATATATGATCACATTTGTGATTTTTCGAAAATTCTAAAAGTTTTGAATAAGTTTCAATAGAATCATTATACAGATTTTCAGTTAAAGTCTTCGGAAAACGATATTTTAAACTCATATCTTTCCTTACTTGTACGAAGAATCGATATTATTAGTTTGTCCCCTTCAGACTCACGAGTTAATCCGACTCATTTGCAATCAATGAGACAAGTACTTATGATGATATACAGATAAACAAAAGTATCCTCCCTTGGATCTTCGCTCCTATAAGAGCTAAACGTCTGAAAATCGGTCTATAGGTAGTTCACAGAAAATGTAGATCGGCAATACCATCAGTGCCAAAATTACTCAATGCTAGAACGAAGTTATAATAGGTGCCGTCCATTTTCCTTGTAAATTTTGTAACTCGATAATAGAAAGAGTTTTTGAGTCGGCCAATAACTCATTTTATAGCTCTACATTATGGCTATTTCCGATATAAATTTTATTGAAGTCTATCGAGTTGTTGATGAGCTAGACCATTTTTACCAAGGGGGAACAAACTGATTTCGATCGCTGAAATCAGTTTGAAATCACCTGAAATCAGTTTGAAATCACCTGAAATCGGTTTGAAATCACCTGAAATCAGTTTGAAATCACCAGAAATCATCTGAAATCACCAGAAATCAGTTTGAAATCACCTGAAATCACTTGAAATCACCTGAAATCATATGAAATCATCTGAAATCATGAAATCATGAAATCAGTTTGTTCCCCCTTGATTTTTACTGAAAACATGGATGTATGCAAAAAACAATAGAATGCCATTGTGAGATCAATAACTGAAGCATTAGTTTGATGAATCTATCTGAAAGGACGGGGACGCATAAGAAGCTAAATCGGTCCATTCCCGAGTTTCATTTAAAAAGTGGTCAGACCTAGGTAAAAAAAGTGTGCTGCGACGTTTAAATACCATTCCAAGTGAAATAGATGTAGTCCTATGGCATTATAGGTCACTTAATGATACCTCTATAACTATTATATCAAAGCTCTACCTTTACTGACAAAAATAGCCCTCAAAATGCTATCTTAAGATAGATTTTTGAGGTCGCATCAATACCATTAGAAAGAGCACGTTGAATTGCACTAGTTCTTACACAAGTAATAAAAATTTCATTCTCAAATATAATTTTAGCTTTGACAATTTTTCCACCATAAATCCTCTATAATACATATAAAATGATATTCATCCATATTGTGACTAATCATGTTCTCTTATTATCGACTTAAAACACTTTCGATTATATACCAATCGATAGATCCCATAGGACAGCCCTTGAGAACCTATGGGTACCTACATATAATAGTCCTTGTGGGTCTATGGGTTTCTAATATAGTAGCTCTTGGGTCTTCCGCTTATAGTCTTGTTTGACCTTTGACCTAGCACAGAGAAACACACAAACACACACTGAACATTAAGTATATATATATATAGATGTACTTAATTTGATCTAAAGAATAAATTAGATAGTGATTACTATGGATAGTCGAAAAACTGCTTAAAAATCAGTTTTTTATGGTAGACCGTAGGCGAGACGATGGCGAGTCGTTTTTTTGACTGACTCGCCGATCTCTGGTTGGAGCACATGATAACAAAACAAAATTCAAGAAAAAATTCTCTCTAATAAATAGTCCTATTAAAAGTCTGAATCGAAAAAAAAACGCCTACAGGCTGTCACGAGCATACTGAATAGTTTATTGCTACGGAATCAAATGCCATAGTTCTGCATGTTCCTTCTTGAGTAACGGAAAATAATTCTTTATATTTGTTGAAGCTAAAATCAAATGTATATACATATTATAGGACTCTTATACTGAATGATCACTAAAATAATTCGTTTATTGCATGACTATCAACTGTCAACTCTATGTTATATTCAATTATTTTGCTTCTTTTTGTATTATTCAATTTGTAGGTTATCAGATAGAAAGCAAAAGAATTTGTTATCAGGAAAACTACATCAAGATTCTGGCACTAGGAGATTTGTGGTATTGACTATTTTCGAATACAAAGAAAAATATTTTTTGCAGATTAATAATAATAATAATACTAATAGCAACTTAAATTAACAACGATTGTTTTTTTTTTGTTAATTAAGATTGTTTTACGTATAATTTATTTATATATTTGTTCAAATTGGACAAAGGAAATAATAATTTGTTTTATTTGATTCTTCTAGGAAATTAAGAAAAATTTCTGAATATTTTCGCCATATTATTACGTTTATACGTGCTCCATATGTTAAATATCTCTATCATTTAGTAAGTATTCAATTAGACAATAGTCGTTTTATTTTTTCTAAAACTATGTTTCATTTTCTATTTTTCTTTTTCGTCTATTTTAGTACTCTCATTTGATTTTTTTATTACTATTCTCCTATGTAATTTTATGTGATTTTTTTCCACTCTATGATCTTCCAATGAATTCATGTCTACCATCTGACAATTTAGCAAAAAAAGATTGTTGCAATGATAAAGATGATAATCTATCAGTTACAAGTTACGTGTCGACTATAAGTTCGTATAATGTTAGTAAATCAGTTGCATATGGATTACAACCACATAAAACGCCATCTTCTACTGAAATTATACTTGTCATATGGGTTATTACATTAGTTTGTGAAGAATTTCGACAGGTAATTTGTCTGAATATATGTGTAATCTATTATTTTATGGTCTCTATATATTTTGTTCACATTCTCTAGTTATTTGCAATACAAACACCATCAACACAAAATGCTTTTACAATTTATTTTAAATCATATTGGAATCAATTAGATGTTGTAGCTATAATTCTATTTTTCGTGGCTATTGTACTTCGATATCTTCCAATATCAGAATGCTTTTGTGCAGCACGAATTATTTTATCATTTGATTTATCTGTTTGGTTTATACGTACATTGGAAATGTTTACTGCTGTAAAACTACTTGGACCTAAACTTGTTATGATTAGTGAAATGGTAAGTAATCTTCTTGATTTTGTGATAAGTAGTCTATCACCAATAACTATTTAGAATATATCAGCTATTTTGTTATTGCATTTCTAGAGAATTTAGTAGAATAAAGATAAAGAAATTCCTTCTTAAATAGTCAGAATAAATCAATCTTCATTTCGTTGCAGCAATAGTCAGTAGTTCTATCATGTTTCACATTTTATTCTCACAGAGATTTTACCAATAGTATTAGTTTGTTTTCTATTGAATGTTGTTTCCTTAATATTTTTTTTTTGTTAGGTACATGATTTGAAATTTTTCATGATAATGTTCTTTGTATTTATACTGGCATTTGGTGTATCATTTTATAGTTTAATATTTGGTGTTCAAGAATTTACTTGGCATTTACCACGTAAAATTATAAATCTTGCTTATTGGCATATATTTGGTGAAATACAAGATTTAGAAGTATTCGAAGGTATGAAAATACAAAGAAGAAAAAAAAAAAAAATTTCTAATTAAATAATAAAATGTTTATCTTTAATATAGAAAATTTTAAAGCAAACGGTTATGCAGCGTTTATCTTATTGCTTGGCTATATGACTATTGTTAGTATACTCTTAGTCAATCTACTTATTGCTATGTTCAGGTATTTATAACATCTACTTAAAATCGTTATGAAGAAAAAAAAGAACTATAGATAGTTTATATATGTAGCAAAACAATTTTTTGCATCTAACTAAAGCCTTGTTTTATTTTAATTTAGTAATACTTTCGATCGTCTTCAAAACAATGCAGATCGTATTTGGAAATTTCAACGATATTCATTAATGTGTGAATATTTATCACGTCCATCATTTCCACCACCTTTCATTTTCTTGTCTCATTGTGGACGATTAACTTTGTATACATTAGCTAAATGTTGTAAGTTAGAATTCATTCAAAATAAATATCGACAACATATAAATCGAACAAAATATAGTAAAACATACTTTCTTTTTTTTTATTTGTCTAAATAAAACAGTTGACTTTATTTTTTTTTTAGAACTATCACTCGATGACAAAAGTATAACAAAACTTGAAACAACTGAAGATGCATATGGTGATGAAGTTTATTATAATTATTTAAAACAGGAAAGAAAACTACCTGATGAACCTGATCTAGATGAAGAACGAGTGTAAGTAGTAAACTTAAATAAAATATCACTAGATCGAAATCTTTCATATAAAACGCGCTTGGAAAATATCAGATTAACTTTCTTTTCTGCGATACAAGGCATTTAAATCTAAATAGCGATTGGAATAGTTAGTGAAATATTCTATCAAATACATTGTATATTGAAATCTTATAAATAGAATTATCAGAAAAAGATTTGTGAAAAGCCATACATGACACTTTCAGTTTTCTGACGACTGTATGAAGATTAATGCTAAAGAATATCATCTTTAAAACAAGAAAGTCTCTAAATAAACGAGATGTTGTCTCACTCCGAGAGCACGACTAGTGTGTGTAAAATGAATGTGTGTCACATGTGTAAATAAATATTTTTGTCAACAAGTGAAAGACAGTGAACAAAAAAAAAGTAAACAAAATAATAGAAGTAAATCAATATGAACAGATCAATGAACAGTTATAACATGAATATATGAGTAATCGCTTTTAACTTTTGTATATTATCATTTGTAGGATTTTCTAAAATCCGTAAAACTCTGAATGCTGTTAGCAGTCACGAGGATTAATTTTTCTGGGATTTATTGAGTTTTATTGGGATTTTTTAATAAATCCATATACGTTTTTAAATAGATCTCACATTATTTTGAGGGTGAGGGTGCACGAAAATCTTGATACAGTTAATAAGTCCCAATAAATCCTATAAAAGAAATAAATCCTAAAAAAATAAGTCTCGGTAGCCCCTCTAAAAGAATATGTTGTTCGTGTATTTTTCTTTTTTAATGTTTACGTATTTTTAGTCAACAATTACAGGAAAATATCTTAAATAGAATACAAAGACTTGAAAACCATATGCGACTAATTAGTAATCAAGTAATAATGAATTTGTTATAGTTGGATTTCTTTTTGCATTTATTTCATATAAAAAATTTTCATTTAGCAAGCTATTATGTGCGATTATCTTGAAAACTTGATGGGTGATTCAAAAACTAACAATGATAAACGTATCAAACTACCTGAACGACATCTTTTAGATCCTGAATCACCATGTATGTTTATCATTATATAATTATTCTTTTACTAATAATTTCTTTTTATTAAAAAAAAAAACATTGAAATAGTTGAGGAAATGAACCAAAATATTAATAAAACACAACAAAGGTATCCAAAAGAATCATTGTCTGATGATGATCATATTCATTGAAATCCTAATTATTGAGAAACAACAATGATGAAAGGTTAATTTTTTCTTTATCTCAATAACACTTCTAAATGCTATAAATATCTGTATGTAATTACTACTTGATACAATGAACTGGTTTTCGGTGCCCATATATAACCACATTTTTTACTAACTATTTATTATTGATCTTAAGTTATTAACTAATTTAGATATTAACATTTCAAATCATCTTCTAATCATTATTGCACGCATCAACTGATTAGATTTTGATGAATGAACTCAAAAAAAAAAACATTTTCAAACATCGATTAATTTCTTTGATATGTATGTAGGTATCATCTTTCACGCGTGCATCAACGAACAACTGATGTCTAAATTCGTATTCAATGTAGAACTTCTTAGTATTTATTGGAGTTATTTTTTTATATTCATATTTTAAAAATAAATTATTATGTTTGCGTGTTCTTTTTATTTTCTATCAATTACAAATGTATATGATATCTAATCATGTTTTTCACTGCCTTAAACTTCTTTGTAGAACTTGCGTGTATTTTTTAAAGAAAACAGTGAGTGTAAGTTTTAATTCGAAGTTCTTCGACACCTACTTACTCTCCTCACAGCAGATACTTCATAATGAAAAATGGCAGATGTTCGGTTGTCGACATGTTTTTTTTCAAAATTGATACAATATTAACCCTTTACCCCCCATAGCGGTTCCAGAAGAGCCGCTGATGAAA